TCGGGTCAGTTTACGTATACTTCAACTAATTTTTTAGGACCCTGAAACTACCGGTCGGATAAGAGCTCAAGTGGCTAACCCTATTAGCAATTGAGGAGGAACTCGAATTCAGAATCCCTTTAATAATACACTTAAAAGTCCCTATCGAACCACTCAACTATCCACAACTCGCTTATTATCATCAATTCATTCCAACCGCAAAATGTACAAATTAAATATAAATTGAACTTCTGCTATAATAAAAATGGGATAAGACAATTAAGATTGCGTAGCATGCATCTTATTCACTTCTTATTATCATACATTTCTAGTGATATTCAAAATATTAAACATTTTCAAATAGGAAGAGATTTATTAATTAAAAAAAAAAAAAAAAAGAGGAGGGAGTAATTGAAGAAGAAGCCCATTTTGGTGCTTATTGAATCCAATAAGAAAAGTAAAAACTAGAATGGCCATAAATAGACATCTTATGATCCTTAGTACAATTATAAAAGAAGGTTGTGAAATTGGGTTGTAAATATAATATTTTTTTTATTGAGTATCATATTAGGTCTTACATAATCCAACTTGTCCCCTATTAAACATTTGATAAAACCTGTTTTAGCTCTTAATTTATCAGGCTTAATGGTCTCTTTAATTATCTATTATCATAGTCCAAACCCGGTTATAAAAAGGCTGTTTACCCGAACTCTAGTTGGGCTAGCAGCCCAAAATCTCATTGCGGACAATTCAAAAACCCTTTTGCTGTATCTGTTTCCTCTTTTAATTTTTAGTTTATTGATGATTGTATGACTAAAAGAAAACTAAACTTCATCTCGCCATATATGTAATAAACTCAATTCCTTCAGTCTTAAGTTGCAATAGACGTGGCCAAAAGCGAGCCACTGAATTGTGTGGCAGGCAGTAGTGTCTAATTCAATGGGGCTCCTGGAATTCGCACGGGAAGAGTGGCCAGTGTCAGTAACGAAGGAGGCACCTGAAGAGAATCGATTTCAAAGCCCAATCTAATTCAAGTGCTCCTGGGCCTGTGGAATAGGGATGCAGGCCCAAATAATTACATCCAAGAAACGATTACTTCAACCCAAATGGATACTCCAATGCTCCATTCTAATAACATGTAAACATTTTTATGTACTCATCTAATGACAACGTAACATATCATTGATGCTCATATCATGTATGCCTTTGTTATAAGGTTATACACATACACCTACTCCATTGAAAACTTTTGATCATATGAAGATGATAAAAAAACTCATTATAAGCATAGTAATACTTACAGCTTTTTCATGGCTAGTAAATGCTACATCTGTAACTTTCAACAATATATTTATAATAACATAAAATATTAGATACTAATATTCTACTTATCCTTAGATAGTTTAAGTGGTAAGACGAGCACTAAGATATATGGTTAAGACATACTGTCTCAAATTCGAATCCCCATTTCTCCCAAGATTTAAGTAGGTGATCATGACGGTAAGATACTAGACAAATCAATTACATGAATTAGTTGAGATACGCGAGGTACGTACAAACTAGTCTAAACACCTTGTTTCAAAGAAAAAAAAAATAGATACTAATATTGACTAAAATGACAACCAAATCATAATGTAATTATAAACTCTAAAATTCATAAATGAATGTTTCTTTAAGGATTGGTGTAAAATACCTTATATATAACATTTGTATTGATGATAATTAAATGAAAGTTGTGAGTGTGAGTCACGATCATGTTGTTGGTCCAATTAATGGAGCGGGAATGAAATTCACGAGTATTTTATTAAAGGCTACAAGAATGAATGTTGTAATTAATTCAAAGTCTCAGTCTCAGTCTTCCGTTATCCGTAATTGAGGTTTCAAGTCTATGCTTCCATTTAATTAATCATAATACAATAAATAAACCCCTTCATCACGTGAATCATTATTTTCTTCAACATTCTAATTAATTAATACCTTTTTTTTTTTTTTTTACAACTCTCACTCCCCAAGTTTATATCAAACTATAGATCCACACATTTTAAAAAATGGCATTTACAATCCACCCATGGCTAACCCAACAGTAAAGGTGAGCTAAGGGGGCTGCAAATAGTTAAATTTACAGTTTCAAGTTCGATTCCCTATTGGGTGCAAATATAATATATTTGTCTATGATTTATCTGAGAGGCCGCAGTGGTGGGTTGTTGTGAGATAACCTCCCTCTGAGAATTAGTCCAGGTGTGCGTAAGCTAGCCTAAACACCTATATTAAAAAAATGGCATTTACAACCATTAATAGCTAGATGTTTATCAAATTTAAGTATTTAACATCTAGCACAAATATTTTGTACAATGACCAATTTGCCCTCATTTTTTCCCTTTTTTTTTTTTTTTTTTAATTTCAAAATCCTAATTATAACCTATAAATCAAACAAATACGATACAAACACATTAAAAATTCGAATCAAAAGCACAAAACAATCAAAAGAATTTTCTTTTTTTAAGAATATTTTTTGTCAAAATGGATAGTGTCCGACCATATTGCTTGGCTAGGCTAGGTGGTCACCTTGTCACTTCTCCCTCGACTTTAGATTTGTCACCACCCATAATTTTACATTTGCAAATTCCCATTCTCATCTTATGTACAATTAAACCTGGATAAATTAATATACTTGGGACCATAAAAAATTTATTAATTAATCGATATATTATTTAATTATATAAATTAATAAATTATTATTTTATCGAGATTCTTTATTTTTTTTTTTCACAACATTAAACTTAATACATACATATATATATTGTGCATAATTTTCTCTTGCAATATAAGAATACTACACCATATCTTCTTAATACACTAAGAAAAGTTAGAGATGAGGTCCAATGAGACATCGATTTTAAGAGAAAACAAGTAACATTGAAGTCATATTTTATAAAGGTCTCATAACTAAGTCATGTATATATATAATTTTGATGTATAAGGAAATTATTAATTTATATATCAAATGGTTCCTATGTGGGTGTTTTTTTTTTATAAATGTATTATCTTATAAATTTAGTCAATTATTAATTTACTACATTGGTCCAAGTTGAGGCTAGACAAAAATATTATTTAATCGAGATTATTAATTTATCAAGGTTTAAATATACTATGAAAATGGCATAATAGCCCCTTCACTGACATAACGACCTTGAATGTAGTGGGTGAAATGTCACTTTTCAACAAATGTTGATCCACCTGTTATTCACGAAAACTTGAGGGGTATCTGGAATCCCATATGAATTTACGGTCATCTATGGTGTTAGTGGTGGTTTTTAATTAGGCAAAGCAAAGAAGACTTGTCAGTCATCGCAGCGTGATAATCAGCTAGATCTAGACATATAGCATATTGTTAATAATAAAATAAACAATGGTGTATGTTTGACTTCCAAACTCATAACGTGAAAGCTAAGACTTCATTTTGTTTTGTTCGGTGAATTGCATTTGCATTGGCCGGTGGCCCCAACCCTAACTCAGTGCCCAAGTCAAGCTAGAAGACAGACAGGAGACGGCAATGGTGGCACACCTGGCAGCCTGCACAAACCCCAACACAAGATCGGCTTTCCAAGTCAAAATATTGCACCATGAATCACTCCACGAGGTTTGGTTAGGTTTGAGCCAGAAAGACAGCCACCTCAACTCAAGTACTTACTATCAATCAAGTCCTTCTTCTTTTCCCATTCTTCTATGGAAATGGATGGAAGCCTTTTGTCTGTTGTTTCTTTTGATGATTTATGATGAATATGGGGGCCTAAAAGGCTAAAACCCTCCGCCTAAAACCCCTTTGCATGTTTCTTGTTTCTTGTAATTCTTCTCTTTGCTTTCGTGATTTTGTCAACCTTTTTCAACACTCTACAGACTACATTTTCAATTAATACCCTTCAACTACCCCAAACCCACCTTCACTTCTCTTCCTTTTTTTACCTTCTATCATTGATTTGAATGATTTTTCCACTTCAAAGTTTGTCTAATGTCTTAGTTAAGTACCCAATCAAGGCTAAATTTAAGCTTATGTTCTAGTTTTACAATGGGGTTTTTCTGAAAAAAAAATTGAAGTCAAAGCGTGATGCAGATTGAGGGCTATTTTATTTGCAAATACTAAGTTTCTTAGTAATTTGTTTGTAAGTTATCTCACATGACACCAAGTTTGTTCTTTCACACTTAGTCAACTCATTCTTGGAATGTATGCCAGAATCAAATGTTTGATTAATTCAATATTTGTGAATGTCCCCAAACCCAAACCCAAAAGCAAGTAAGTAGAGTAAAAGACTCTAATTAGCTTTGAATTGAATTAATGTCCTTTTTTTTTTTTTTTTAACGATCGAGAATATCTAAATCAATTTATACGTATCTCAACTAATTTTTTGATATCTTCAAACTACTAGAAAAATAGAAACTCTAGTGATCACCCTAATAATTGATGATGGATTCAACTCAACATCTCTTAAAAATATACTTATCACACCTAAAAGTAGTTGAATTGAATTAATTCCACTGACAAGTACTTCCCAAAAAAGCCCTTTTGCTTTCTCCGTTCTCCCTTGCCAATCTACAGAAAAAATTTTGAGTGAAACGTATCAAATGGAGACAGCAGAACCCCATTACCAAGTAATAAGTATAAGCTATTTATTGTATAGCATTTATTTATGAACCCTTAAACAAGGATGCCAAAAGCGCTTTCTGCTGACATGATAACCTAAGAAAGAGGCTTTTTTTGTATGAGTTTGGTAATGTCTTCACAACTGCACCCACTTTCTGTAACAGTTAAAAAAACTCCCTAATCTACGTTGAAAACCTGAACCATTGGGGCCCAAGAGCCGCGTGAATCCAGTACAATACATTAAAATTATAGCTCTCTGCATCTGAAACCACTGTATATTTAAAATAAAATAAGCCATTACAGTTGAAAAAACTGACTTTTAGCCTTTTACATTACGACTAATTAAAATAATCTGAAAAAGTTGACAAACTTATATTAATCTCCCTTAAGAGTTAAGGGAGCTGAGCGGAGAGAGAGAGTTCGGACTTCAGAACCTCACTGCCTTCTTCTTTCTTTTTATTTTCTTCCTCTTTTGCTTTTTGTTACTGTTGTGTACTTGCTACTGTTTTCCATTTAAAGAACTGAGCTCAAGTATCTTTCTTGCTAGATTCTCGCTCTGTAATTCTGACCAAGAATTTATTTTTCTTCTGGGTTTTTTCAGAATCCCCACACCCCTTTTTCCCTCTACCTTTTAAAATACTCTATTCATTCAACACTTTTCACTCCACGCCCTCTCTGTCTTTGTCTTTGTCTTCGTCTTCTTCCTCTTGTCTTGGCTTTCTGCACTACAATGGATGTAAGCAGCAAAATCTTTTAACAAGCTTTTGTTTTTTTTTGGTTAATAATATTATAATTATTCTGTTCTTGTGGTTCTAGGAATATTACTGTAAAAGAAGTGGACAAATTCCAGCTTTTGGAGACTGGGATTATTCAAACGACATGCCAATTACTCAATACTTTGAGTGTGCAAGACAAGCCGGGTTGCTTCGCTACAGTTCTTCTTCCGGAGAATCTGATCTGTGCATGCGTCGTAGTTGCGGTGGCGGTGATTTATACGCCGTCGATTTGAAGAAAGCTTCTCGTAATGTCAATGGTGTTCCTCCCAGAAAGGTTTGTTTGTTTGTTTTTTTCTTTTCTCCATTTTCTCCAGGAAGAATTAAAGCTGTTTCTTCAACTGCATTTTCTGAAAATTCGTACTTCGATTAAGCAGAAACAGTTGGTTTAAGTTTTGTTTTAAATACTATTAATCGCCTGATTATTGCATAAATGAGGTGTTAATTATGAAATTAAGATTAAACATAATGATGGAATGATTATAATATGTTGGAATGTGAAACACATTTGCAGACGAAAGTGGGAGAAAAGCGAGGCCCGCAAGTCAAGGAGCAGAAAAAGCAGCAACAAGTGAAGAAGGTGTGTGACTGTCACGTGACTCAACCACCAAGGAAACAACCACCACGCTCTAAATACGGCGTTGTTACCCCCACCCCACTGCCTGTTCGACCTCCCAAAGCCGTCGACGAAGATCTCTACAAAATCCCTCCTGAACTCCTCCACTCCCAGAAGCGGGTAATTTCCCACTTCACTTAAACATTTTCAACTTATTTCTTTTCATTTTAAAGTAATCAAAAAATTAAAAAAAAGTAGGAACCAGTTGATGATCACATGCAAGTCTTTGTCTAAACAGATGATTAGGGGAAGAAAAAAAAGTCTATGAACTTTCCCAGACTTTGAAAATTGTGGTAGTTGTTGGAAAGTATTGGGTCCGCTGAAAGGCATGGTCGTAAACAGAAATCATTTATGAGAAATAAAGTAGGTATAACTTTTGAAAAAAATGTCCGGAGGATACAATAATTCAATTCAAATTCATCATCACAAAGCAGTCTACAGGAAAATGCTATAATATATCTTTATAGGGTTTTTTTTCTTTTTTTGGCCTTTATTGTATTTGGAGTCATTAGTTGCAAGAAAGCAGCTGATCGGAGGGAGTCAGGTGAAGGTGGTGGGAGAATATGATGAGCTAAGCTGAGGGTATGGTCATGAATTCCCCTCTTAAATGCTCGGCCTAGTACAAAACAGTGGACTAGGGCTCAGGAATGGCAGGCCCAACAGGCCTCTTGTTCAGTCTACTGTCTAAATTTATTTATTTATTTTTTTGTAATTATAAAAATATTTTTCTGGGTGTATCAATTAACGTCGATTGTTTGTTTATTTGAACGTAGAAGAAAATGCCTGGATTCTTTTCATGCCTGGTGCCTGCATGTGCCTCTTGAGTCCGGATCTTCACAACAAGCTTCTCTTATGGGAATGTTTGATTCACAAAATTAAAGATGTATTGAATAGTTAATGTAATGCTCTCTGTGGACATTATCTTCCACCAAAGTTAATGTATGATATTAGCCAAAATCAAACTGTTTGACAGACTGAGAATGAAGAATAGATGTTAAATTTCATCTTGTTTTTGTTCTGTAGTTGAATTTACATTACAATGTATCTGTTACGTTTCTCGTTACGAGTTTTGTGTTCAATGTTATGATTCTTACATTTTCTCGTTATGAGTTTTTCATTCAATTTTATGATTCTTACGTTTAAAGGAACTAAACTTCAATCTTTATAAGAGTCAATGTTTTAAAACCTGATTTGGCTTGACTGGTTGAATTGGGACTTTGGGGTTTTCATCGGTTCATGTTAGCAATTTTTTTATTCATTGAAAATCTTATAAATTAAAACGGTAATGTCAGGATGTTGAGGCTTGTGAAAAAGAAAGCTTTTAAAGAGGAAGATTGAAGGGCAGGATGTTGAGGCTTTTGCAGAAAAGGGTCGGTGAGTACAATGGCTACAGTGAAGATGATTTCTTGTAATGGTTGACGAGAGTAAATAGATCGAAAATCGAAAAAACAACTTAGGTGAGCAAGGCCTGTCCTATGGGTCCATGACCGATCCTATTTATTTTTTTAATTTTTTATTGTAGTCGGAGTCATTAAATGCAAGAAAACACCTGATCGGAGGAAGTCAGGTGAAGGTGGTGGGAGAATTTGATGAGCTAAGCTGAGGGTATGGTGATGAATTCCCCTCTTAAATGCTCGGCCTAGTACAAAACAGTGGACTAGGGCTCAGGAATGGCAGGCCCTTCAGGCCTTTTGCTCAGTCTACTGTCTAAATTTAATGTTTTTTATTATTTTTGTAATTATCAAAATATTTTTCTGGGTTGATCACTTAATGTTGACTGTTTGTTTGTTTGAATGTAGAAGAAAATGCCTGGATTATTTTCATGCCTGGTGCCTGCATGTGCCTCTTGAGTCCGGATCTTCACAACAAGCTTCTCTTATGGGAATGTTTGATTCATAAAATTAAAGATATATTGATTAGTTAATGTAATGCTCTCTGTGGACATTATCTTCCACCAAAGTTAATGTACGATATTAGCCAAAATCAAAGCTGTTTGACAGATTGAGAATGAAGAGTAGATGTTAATTTTCATCTTGTTTTTGTTCTGTGATTAAATTTACATTACAATGGATTCTTCCGTTAAATGGAACCAAACTTCAACCTTTCTAAGAATCAATGTTTTAAAACATGGCCCAGCCCGGCCCGGTCGGTTGAACCGAGACCTAGGGCCTTCACTGGGCTAGGTTAGCAATTTTTCTATTCACTGAAAACTCTCGAAATTGGTATGGTAATCGATGAACAATCGAAGGCCAAGATGTTGGGGCTTTTGAAGAGGAAGAACCAGTTTGTGCAATGATGGCAATAGAGGTGATTTCTGGTGAGTGAATCGATCAAAAATTGAAAAAAATCGCCGCAGCAATAGTCAGCTTTTGCCGGATATTGACGAGGTGAAAGGGGGGTGGGGTGAGATGGGTTTTGGTCAGGAGGCTAAGGGGAGTATTTTCGTGGTGATGAGGAGGGTTGTCAACGTTGATGGTGGTTGGGTAGGATGATTGTGATTACATTTGGTGTGTCGCTACCGCTAATCAATTGACCGCCGACTTGTATTTGGGGTGTGTTTGCTAAATTTTAAACTTATAGAGACTTAAAGGTAAGTTTTAGGGGTGTATTTGCTGAATTTTAAACTTTTAGCCACCGGCCGGTTAAACTGGTCAACCTAGGACCTGACAACTTCGTCGGGTTTGTTATTAAAACACTACTAAGAATATCAGTACCGAGTAAATTGTGAAATAAAATTTTGTTGGAAAATTTAATGGGTAACTTAGATGAATATGATTATAGCATTATGGTTAAAAAATGTATAATAAAGTTAATGATTCTTAGCATTATTCAGTGCATAGTTGATAAGGAAAATGAGTGGATATAACTGTTCAGCCAAATTGGGTCCAATTTGTCGGTGAAAAGGGCCAGGTTAGTGGCCACGAAATTGAACTATTCTGCTAGAGTCTAGCCCAGATGCTAAACTTTGCTGAGGGGCTCTTATTTAGTGGATGCTATTGCTGTTTCATGAAAGTGGCCAAGGCCATCCAATTTTTATCATGCACAAAGTCAACTGAATTATAGCTTTTATCATATACAAGCATAATATGTTATTGTTATAATACATGGATTCTGATTTACTTTCTCAGGTGGCTGCAGTCTCAAACTGAGATATTGTGCTATAACCAACATCACCTAGCAAATGAGTCTGAATTCAGTTTATAAGATTTAGGTCCTTGTAAATAAGTATATGCATTTTGGGTAAGGGGTATTTGTGTGAGACCCAAATATAAACCATGCCGACCTAAAGCCAAAACGGATAATTTCTACTTAGTTAGATCTAGAATTTGACACAGTGCTTCTATATTGTTGCATTAAAGTGACATAGACGAGGCAGATTAAACTAAACTTCACATTGAATGAAACTGTGCATGCTTTTGACAGATGGTTTATGGGTTGAGAGTAACATAATAGACTAAATATCTAAAAACTCCTAACCGCAGATGCAGGACTTAAATTCAGAAAGATAAAAGCTTATTCTTAGCTGGAATATTTAGAGGTTGTATAATGAATATGAGGTGTCGGCGAGAGTTTGATAATTGACAGGAAATAAATGTTGCTATTGCGGCTCCTTAATGGGGTCATCTATTTTGGCCTTTTAACGAGTCATGCCGTTAACTAAGTCGAAAATGTCTGCATTTCGGTCTAGGCTTACAGGAATTTGTTTTTAGATTTCGCGAAAACGTTTTTCATCCAAAATGCGTCCACCTAGCAAGAGGAATCAACCGTCATAAACTAAACCCCGACTCATTCACTAAGCGATGTGGGATGCTAACATTTATTGTTTTTTTACAATAAACTTAAAGCACTTCTCATTGCTTCAATGTTGCATTTGAGAAGAATCTGGGGTTGATCTTATGATGTTTAAGGCATATCTCTTATTGGGTGGATATCCTTTTTTTTTTTTTTTTTGTATCTGTGTGTTAATCTCTTTGAGACTTGATAAGGGTTTGACAAATTCCAATTCTGGGGTATTATTTAAACCTGTAGATAAGAGAACATAAAAGCAGATCCACTGATTTGGAACTTTTGTATATGGGAATGTTTGATTCATAAAATTAAAGATATATTGATTAGTTAATGTAATGCTCTCTGTGGACATTATCTTCCACCAAAGTTAATGTATGATATTAGCCAAATCAAAGCTGTTTGACAGACTGAGAATTAAGAGTAGATGTTAATTTTCATCTTGTTTTTGTTTTGTGATTAAATTTACATTACAATGGATCTGTTGTATTTCTCGTTACAAGTTTTTCATTCAATGTTATGATTCTTACGTTTAATGGAACCAAACTTCAATTTTTCTAAGAATCAATGTTTTAAAACATGGCCCGGTCCGGTCTGGTCGGTTGAACCGGGACCTGAGGCCTTCACTAGGCTGGGTTAGCAATTTTCCTATTCACCGAAAACTCTACAAATTGGTATGGTGATCAACAAACAATCGAAAGCTAAGATGTTGGGGCTTTTGAAGATGAATGACCAGTTTGTGCAATGGTGGCAATAGAGGTGATTTCCGGTGAGTAAATCCATCGAAAATTGAAAAAAAAATTACCATGGCAATAGTCGGCTTTTGCCGGCGATTGACGAGGTGAAAGGGGGGTGGGGTGAGATGGGTTTTATCAGGAGGCTTAGAGGAGTATTTTCGTGGTGATGAGGAGGGTTGTCGATGTTGATGGTGGTTGGGTAGATTTTTTGGGGAATGGCTCAGGGGATAATTGTGATTGCAATGGTATGTCGCTACCACTAACCAATTGACTGCCGACTTGTATTTGGGGTGTATTTGCTAAATTTCAAACTTGTAGGGACTTAAAAAGTTTTAGGGGTGTATTTGCTGAATTTTAAACTTTTGGCCCAACCGGTTAAACTGGTCAACCTGGGACTTGACAACTTTGTCAGGGTTTCAACTCGGGTTTGTTATTAAAACACTGCTAAGAATATCAGTACCAGGTAAATTGTGAAATAAATTTTGTTAGAAAATTTAATGGGTAACTTAGATGAATATGATTATAGCATTATGGTTCAAAAATGTAAAATAAAGTTAATGATTCTTAGCATTATTCAGTGCATAGTNTGTATTCTTCAAAACAAAAACAAAAAACATTTTTAATGCCTCAGTTGATTTGATGGTAAAGGGCAAAAGAGTAATTGTATTATGTTAAAAAGTGTAACATCAATGACCTGTCCTCTTCTCTAACTAGTCTTTTACTCAAAACACATTACTAATTTTACATGTGAAATTTGGAAACTCTTTCTGGATTCATCTTTACCAAACCAATAAAAACATAGCCACCAAAACACCTTTCAATATCAACTTTCCAGCTCCCTCATACAAAGAACATTCCATTGAGACCCTTCCTGTTTGGGGCAGAGACTGATTTTTATCTTCCTAATCCTCCCTTCTTTATGAAAAAAGCATTGGAGAGTAGAAAGTGACCACAGAGTTTTGAGATTCTGTTACTGCCGATGCCCACCATTGGAATTGGCCTTTATGGTTTTTCTTTTCTTTTTCTTTTTCTTTTTTATTACCAATCTAACAATTCTATCATCCTTATAATAGGATAGGGTCAATAACAATGGTCCCTAGGTTATGATATACTTCAAATCATATTTTTGCTTTCAAGGTCCATTGAACATCTATAGACCCAATAGGCCATATAAATTACAAATGTGATAAGTGATTTCCTGGTAAGAGTAAGACTCGAATACAAGATCTCTAGATAACCTAAGGTCTTGTCATCCGACCATATCCAAGTGGTTTACTTCAGTTTTGATCTATACTAGAAAAGAAGAAATTTTTGTTGTCGCTATCAACAACTGCTCAACGTCTATCTAAACATAAATCAAATTATTATATCAAATAAACAATCTGGAACAATTACCGTACAGATTCTACATCAGAAGAATAGCAAAAATACTATACTATATAAGATTGTGCAGCAAAATCCTAACTTACCCTGATGCTTACAAAACTTGTGGTACCTTACCAGAACAATTACAACAATTTATTTCCCTTGAAGGGAAAATTGCTCCCCGATTCTTAAATCTGCTTCACACTCCCTTTGCATTCCTAAATCCTTTACAAGAATGAAAATCTTCTCCAGCAAAAGCAGTGGTCTTGTCTTGTGATTGTCATTTCAGATTAGCTTTAAAAAAATCAAGAAGAAGATTCGATCTAATAGAAAAACCTCATCCACAAGTTAAGGATCTATTAGTGCAAATTCAAACACATTGTTTGATTTGCAAGATTGAAGAGTTGTCTTGAAAGAAGCAAGTGATGGAAAAACCAGTCAGCGCATCATGTTTTTTATACAGGATTTCAGCATCAACTGTTTCTAACTGTACCCATTTACTTAATATTCTTCTCGCTATAGCCAACTGTGACCCGACCGAATTGTTGGTCCAAAAACATATACAAAAATTAATCAACTTGTTAAACGGTTTGTATTAAACAAAGATTTAGTCTAATGGTGCCGACACTGTAAATGGTTGGTGACAGACAATGGAGGTCCTACAACTCCAGTCATCCACCGAATCACTTTCATTGCAAAGGCGGCGAGGCCTCCTGTTAGACGGCAACAATGTTAAATATCTAATCCTGATTAGATAATCCCAAATAATTAAAGATCCGAGTCAGCGCAAAATATGAGAATTCATAGGCTCAGAAATAAGGTAGAAAGCAAAAATTATAAAAAAAACCAAAGTATTGATCATGACTATGAAGGTTATATCAATATCCTTTGATGATCTATAAGCATAGATTGACCAAAACTTGCCTAGTATAGGAAATGGTATAAATATGTTAACTTTTTGCAGAACTCAGCTCAAATCAATGTGTATATTGGGGGAAAACAAGAGTTTTTACAGGAGGATGATGGATTGTTTCTGAATTAAGGGGTTATTTCATCAAGCTGTATGTGCAATTAAAGCAGCTTTATTCAACCTCTCAAGAATCGCATTCGCTTTCCTCTTGGCTCTGTCCCGTCTTGTGCAAGTCTAGAAACGTATGATTGGCATTTTCCTCCGCTCCAATTTCCCTCAATTTACTCCGTCATTAAAGCAGATATTTACAGAATGGCAACACAATTTTCTTTGTTGCGTTCACAAGTGCTCTCCCTTTGATGCTTAGCAAGCAAGCACCAGCGCCTAGTTCTCCATTTCCTCAATGCTATTTGATGACTCGAAAGCATTGAAAGAATAGCCAACACGTCTACAAGTGTATGGTTTATGATCTTTCCCACAATCACCCTGACTGCCCCTGCATGGACAGCCCTCCTTTTATTTCGAGGAGATACATAGATTGAAAATTGCAGAAGCACATCCTTAATAGCTAATGGTGCCCTTCCCTAAAAGATCATTAAAGGTTTGAGAGCACCTGATTTCCCAATAATGAGCTTGTTAGAATCTAGGGCTGATAATGTGAATAGTGCCAGCAGCATTTCTTCTAGTTTCAATGGTTCCGTTTTTTAAGGAGTCAATAAGTAGAGGTATGACCAATGGATCCTCTGCAACTAGCTTCTTATTATTGTCATGAATTGAGAGGTTTAGTACAGTTGTGATCAATCCTCTTGGAGATCAGGATCAGGATCAGTATCAGCTCTGCCTGGTGAAAGTGGATTAGCAATTGGAGAATGGTATCAGTTGCATGCCAAAAGGGCTCGAAATGATGGCATCCTCTTTGTCAGCAACCGAATCTTTTTGCTGCTTCTTTTTGATCGGAAAGAGAGAGGACATCTTCTCAAGCAGTGAAGTTAAATAGCTTCGGTCACATCAGTTATGAAATCCTCATCATATCCTGAATGGCTTTTGGCAGCTCAAGCCATGCTCCTGGCACCATTGTGAAATAATTTCACGCACCAATGATTCGGAGTGAGACTGTATGGGAGAGGACTTGATGGGTTTGGGCATGATCGGTTGCCTTCATTTAGCCACTTCTCAAGGCAAGGGCGGTCAAAAGTCTGCAAACCCGACACAGATTCAGAACTAAAGTGAATATACGTTTATAAGTCATTTATATCATGAACATGAAATTCGCAAAAACCCCATGAAAACATGACATGAATTGAAACTTTTCTAGAGATGTCTGCACTCCGTTCAAGATCACAGCATATATACGTTGAAGTCGTAACAAAATTTATTTATGGAACAAATAGAGTGGCTGGACTTCTAGAAACTAGCTTCAGAACAAAATTCTATTAAACTCTAGAGAATCCTACAACTATCTGGGTTAGGAGTAGGATTTTTTATGACTTTAAGCCACCTCTTGAGAATCAAGCGTTAAATAAGAACTTTTCTCTACAGAAATTTCCATTGAAAATGAAACCAAATAATCATCTAACATACAGAGCTCAAACTTTCGGGTTAGTGCTATAATCAGCCTTTTAACTCCCACCTAATATTCAAATTCCTACATCAAAGTTGGCTATCTGCCACAAAATATTGCTTAAATTACTAGAAAAGGAAATCCAGAAAAAAACTCTCAAAGTCAACCAAAGCAACTTTCCGAATTTCACAAAGTAAAAATTTCACAACATTCAGGCCCCGATGCTTAAAAGTTAACATAATAAAAAGTTCATCGACACAATCGCAAATCCAACCCCATATAACAAAATTCCAAAGAGATCATATTTCAAAGTATTGAACACTAAACAATCCCATCACCACTACCCCACACAAATTCAACCAAAATAAAAACAAAATAAACATACCCAGATACTAACAACCAAAATTAAGAAGCAATTGGAGCAATAACTAACCAGGCCATTCCAAAACAACAGGGTCAGCCATAATCTCTCCAGAAATAGGACACCTGAACACTTCAGGAACATCCAAGCAATCAGCACTTAAAGATGAGATTTCTTCAAGTTAAACTCTTTCAAACAAGACAAGACTCTCAAGCCCATCAGTTACTGCATGCCTAATCATCTTCATCAGAATGGTCTTCACAGTCTCTGTAACTCCTTTTTCAACTCAAAACCGTATTCCTACTATGATCAGTCTCTTGAGCTTCTGGTTGGCCATAAAAGACCATCTTGAAAGTGAAACTGATAAAAAATTGAAACTTTGAACCACGAATAAACCAAGAAAAGTAATTTCACAACTGGGTTGGTAACTCATAACAAGTTACCCATAGAATTTTTTCTTCGTTGAGAAGAGAAATTGGGTTTAGCTTACACAGTTTTTTATACACTCCATTATTTTTTATGTGAACTCTCTTGGCTGTTTGCTGACGCTGTGTCTTTTGAAGGGGGGCTGGGTGATGATATATCACTGGTTGAGTTGTTGGTTTGGTCACAGTGAAATTTGATTAATTGTTGAGTGGGGTACGCGGTGTTTGTCTTCTGTATTTTAAGACAAAGGTTTTGGTGACCAATTAGATATCGCCACGCAGTAAACTGAAATAGAAAGACTTAAAAAATGGTACCTAACATGATTTCCTTTCTTATTTTATGGTATTTTATTGTGGATTTTATTTTAATTGAAGTGAATAGTTGATTAAGTAAATTTTATATAGTTATTGATCCATGACATTATTGAAATAACGTTGAATCACGTTAATATTAACTAATACATTATATGATACGTGTGTAATATCACATAAATTATAATGTGATTTTTTTATGGGTTTATTTTATTTTATTTTGTGAGATTGTTAATATTGTACCTTAATATTGTTAAACGAAACCAACACGTCATAATAAAAACAAAATAAAAGACAATATCAACATATACCCTAGTTCGTTCTCTTTTCAAAGATATGTTCAGTATTCAAATAAGTGATTTTATTAGTATCAAACACTGTAGAATACAAATATGAACAATACCGTGCTATCACTCTTTTTCCTCTATTTTTTTTTTTCCACATAGGTTTTTTACTATTATAAAAATACATAATAGAAAACTAACCCCATTTAAGCTTACCTGAATCTAACTGACTTAAACCTAATATTAATAACTAATTCTAAACCCAATTAACATTGTGACCCCCGAATGAGCGTTGTAGGTCGACAATCCGTTAAGGCTAAAAGAGAGTATATACTAACTAACAAATATCATAAAGTTTTTGACACTTTTAAAAATTTTTTTTTAATAATTTTAGGAGATATATAATTTTTTAAAATAGTGGCATATTTCATATTTAAATATTTATAAATGGATTTGTTATTTATTTATTTTACTTTGAAAAACTATTTTCCAAACGTTGTTAAGATGGAAAATATGGATATAGTTTTTGGATATGATGATTTTAAATTTATTTTCTAAGAAAATAACCTATAAGTTTATACACCTTGTACAATCTTTGATTGTAAGATTGTGTAAATTATTTTATTTGAAAATGGGTTTGATATTTTTATAAATTATGTAATATCCAAAAACATTAAAAATAAATAAATTAGTTTCAATAGTGTAATGATAAGCTAACAGAAAAGTGTTAGGGTGATTGAGATGTTAATCTACCTTGATTTTAAGAGAAAAAGGTTCATGTATTTAGACATTTTTTAAGTTAATTAGGATTACTATTTAATATAATAAAATTAAAGAGTGATAATTAATGGCACTTACCCTATGGATGACTTTTAAAAACACATGTTTTTAAATTTATTAAGATTTGTAATAAATTAATAATGGGATTAATACATGTATCGGCACTTGGCACCAATTGCAATCAAATCTCAATTTCTGAGCTTTTCATTATCCTATCAATGATTCAAGAGTACAACTTTTTTTTTTTTAAATAAAATATTGTTTCAATGTTATTTTGTGTATATTTTTTTATGGTTTATTTCATTTTCTCCTGAGATTGTTAGCATTATTTCAACCATTTTGTTCGGAAAGTATTAAAATATCCCTACCATGATTTTGGGTTTTTTAATAATAATTTTAAGGGTTTTTTTTTTTTTTTTTGATTATGAGATGTTTTTAATATTTTCTGGATGAAATTTAATACTACGGATCTTATACGGAAAAATATAACCATATATTTTTTTTTTTGACACTAAGGGTAAGTGTTTTAAGTTTTCCTTCAAAAACAAACAGACAATCATATGTAATGTGGTAACTTAGATGAATATGATTATAGCATTATGGTTCAAAAATGTAAAATAAAGTTAATGATTCTTAGCATTATTCAGTGCATAGTTGATAAGGAAAATGAGTGGATATAACTGTTCAGCCAAATTGGGTCCAATTTGTCGGTAAAAAGGGCCAGGTTAGTGGCCACTAAACTGAACTATTCTGCTAGAGTCTAGCCCAGATGCTAAACTTTGCTGAGGGGCTCTTATTTAGTGGATGCTATTGCTGTTTCATCAAAGTGGGCAAGGCCATCCAATTTTTATCATGCACAAAGTCAACTGAATTATAGCTTTTATCATATACAAGCATACTATGTTATTGTTATAATACATGGATTCTGATTTACTTTCTCAGGTGGCTGCAGTCTCAAACTGAGATATTGTGTTATATCCAACATCATCTAGCGAATGAGTCTGAATTCAGTTTATAAGATTTAGGTCCTTGTAAATAAGTATATGCATTTTGGGTAAGGGGTATTTGTGTGAGACCCAAATATAAACCATGCCGAGCTAAAGCCAAAACGGATAATTTCTACTTAGTTAGATCTAGAATTTGACACAGTGCTCCCATATTGTTGCATTAAAGTGACATAGACGAGGCAGATTAAACTAAACTTCACATTGAATGAAACTGTGCATGCTTTTGACAGATGGTTTATGGGTTGAGAGTAACATAATAGACTAAATATCTAAAAACTCCTAACCGCAGATGCAGGACTTAAATTCAGAAAGATAAAAGCTTATTCTTAGCTGGAATATTTAGAGGTTGTATAATGAATATGAGGTGTCGGCGAGAGTTTGATAATTGACAGGAAATAAATGTTGCTATTGCGGCTCCTTAATGGGGTCATCTATTTTGGCCTTTTAACGAGTCATGCCGTTAACTAAGTCGAAAATGTCTGCATTTCGGTCTAGGCTTACAGGAATTTGTTTTTAGATTTCGCGAAAACGTTTTTCATCCAAAATGCGTCCACCTAGCAAGAGGAATCAACCGTCATAAACTAAACCCCGACTCATTCACTAAGCGATGTGGGATGCTAACATTTATTGTTTTTTTACAATAAACTTAAAGCACTTCTCATTGCTTCAATGTTGCATTTGAGAAGAATCTGGGGTTGATCTTATGATGTTTAAGGCATATCTCTTATTGGGTGGATATCCTTTTTTTTTTTTTTTTGTATCTGTGTGTTAATCTCTTTGAGACTTGATAAGGGTTTGACAAATTCCAATTCTGGGGTATTATTTAAACCTGTAGATAAGAGAACATAAAAGCAGATCCACTGATTTGGAACTTTTACTTCACTATCAAAACACCAATCTTTATGCTTTCCTAAAGATATTAATTACTTTCTTCCTCAACTTCATATTAGGACCACTTAACCGAAAGCTAACACAAAAACATTGCTTTGATAAATTCACATAAATGCATGCTTGCCACACTCCACACACATCAATTTAACTAGAAATTGACCTCCTTTTTTTTTATTGGTAACCGGGGTCTCCACACTAGTTTGCATACACCTCAATTAATCCCCGATGTCTATTAAACACCCTCCAAGCCCAAAAGATTAGATAAACCATAATGTTATTGTGGTAGATGGCCCCAAGATTTAAACCCAAGAACTCAAGGAATTGAGCAAACCTCCTTGACTACGCAGGCCGATCCCTTGGAGTTAATTGACTCCATTTTTTAAGTACCCACCTCTATTTTGAATACGCAAAATGGCATGCATATGTTGCATAGTCTGTTTTTGCCTTTTTGTCACAACAAGAAATGAGTTTAAGATTCAGTTATAAGGTTTGAGTTCTCTTAACTAGGTAGACGTGTTTTAAATGAATGATGCATTTTACAAGTAGTCTAAAAACAAACCCGTGTGAACTTGAGTTTTACAAGTAGTCTAAAAACAAACCCGTGTGAACTTGAGTTCAACGGGGACAATAACAATATTTACTTGGTTATTCCTGGACTTTGACACATTTTCTAACCATCAAATTATAATAATAAAACATCACAATTATGTGAGTAACTCCCCCTAAATTGATGGGTAAGTTAAAGATTTTTTAAGCAATAGTTAGTAAAACTAACCATTCACCGAAAGTGCAGTTTGTAAGCACTTGAGAATCGGAATGTTTGTTGTTGCATGATCAATGACTTGGATGAATTTGATACACAAAACAAATAAATAAGATGATTGTGATACAAAATCAGCCAATAAAATGTAAAATATTTACCAGCGTGACAGGTGAAGCAAGCAATGCCGCCAGTAACAATATATTATTCTACTAACCCAGATCCTGGTCTCTCTCATGTTTTAATATTCATGGATGGTTACTTGTCAAAGTAGACTTTGGACAAATGAAGCTCTGCTAAAACCAACCACTATTAGTGGCAGGAATTTTGAAGAATGTTAGAAATGTTAGTGTTAAAAGTCATATTTAAACCAATTTATTAGGCAGGAAGATTAGCTCATTTCAAGATTAGCTTTAAAAAAATCAAGAAGAAGATTCAAGATCTAATAGAAAAAGCCTCATCCACAAGTTAAGGATCTATTAGTGCAAATTCAAACACATTGTTTGATTTGCAAGATTGAAGAGTTGTCTTGAAAGAAGCAAGTGATGGAAAAACCAGTCAGCGCATCATGTTTTTTTATACAGGATTTCAGCATCAACTGTTTCTAACTGTACCCATTTACTTAATATTTTCTTCTCGCTATAGCCAACTGTTGACTGCCGACCGAATATGTTGGTCCCAAAAACATATACTAAAAATTAATCAACTTGTTAAACGGTTTGTATTAAACAAAGATTTAGTATAATGGTGCCGACACTGTAAATGGTTGGTGACAGGAACAATGGAGGTCCTACAACTCCAGTCATCCACCTGAATCACTTTCATTGCAAAGGCGGCGAGGCCCTCCTGTTAGACGGCAACAATGTTAAATATCATAATCCTGATTAGATAATCCCAAATAATTAAAGATCCGAGGTCAGCGCAAAATATGAGAATTCATAGGCTCAGAAATAAGGTAGAAAGCAAAAATTATAAAAAAAACCAAAGTATTGATTCATGACTATTGAAGGTTAATATACAATATCCTTTGATGATCTATAAGCATGAGATTGACCAAAACTTGCCTGAGTATAGGAAATGTGTATAAATATGTTAACTTTTTACAGAACTCAGCTCAAATCAATGTGTATATTGGGGGAAAAAACAAGAGTATTTACAGAATGGGATTGTTTCTGAATTAAGGGGTCTATTTCATCAAGCTGTATGTGCAATTAAAGCAGCTTTATTCAACCTCTCAAGGATCGCATTCGCTTTTCTCTTGGCTCTGGAAGTCCCGTCTTGTGCAAGTCTAGAAAGCGTATGATTGGCATTTTCCTCTGCTCCAATTTCCCTCAATTTACTCCGATCATTAAAGCAGATATTATACAGAATGGCAACACAATTTTCTTTGTTGCGTTCACAAGTGCTCTCCCTTATGATGCTTAGCAAGCAAGGCACAGCGCCTAGTTCTCCCATTTCCTCAATTGCTATTTGATGACTCGAAAGCATTGAAAGAATAGCCAACAACTCGTCTACAAGTGTATGGTTTATGATCTTTCCCACAATCACCCTGACTGCCCCTGCATGGACAGCCCTCCTTTTATTTTCGAGGAGAATACATAGATTGAAAATTGCAGAAGCAACATCCTTAATAGCTAATGGATGCCCTTCCTCTAAAAGATCAATTAAAGGTTTGAGAGCACCTGATTTCCCAATAATGAGCTTGTTAGAATCTAGGGCTGATAATGTGAATAGTGCAGCAGCAGCATTTCTTCTAGTTTCAATGGTTCCGGTTTTTAAGGAGTCAATAAGTAGAGGTATGACCAATGGATCCTCTGCAACTAGCTTCTTATTATTGTCATGAATTGAGAGGTTTAGTACAGTTGTGATCAAATCCTCTTGGAGATCAGGATCAGGATCAGTATCAGCTCTGCCTGGTGAAAGTGGATTTAGCAATTGGAGAATGGTATCAGTTGACTCGCTGAAAAGGGCTCGAAATGACGGCATCCTCTTTGTCAGCAACCGAAGCTCTTTTGCTGCTTCTTTTTGATCGGAAAGAGAAGAGGACATCTTCTCAAGCAGTGAAGTTAAATAGCTTCGGTCAACATCAGTTATGAAATCCTCATCAATATCCTGAATGGCTTTTGGCAGCTCAATGCCATGCTCCTGGCACCATTGTGAAATAATTTCACGCACCAACTGATTCGGAGTGAGGACTGTATGGGAGAGGACTTGATGGGTTTGAGGGCATGATCGGTTGCCTTCATTTAGCCACTTCTCAATGCAAGGGCGGTCAAAAGTCTGCAAACCCGACACAGATTCAGAACTAAAGTGAATAATACGATTTATAAGATCATTTATATCATGAACATGAAAAATTCGCAAAAACCCCATAAGAAAGCATGGACATGAATTGAAACTTTTCTAGAGATGTCTGCACTCCAGTTCAAGATCACAGCATAATATACGTTGAAGTCGTAACAAAATTTATTTATGGAACAAATAGAGTGGCTGGACTTCTAGAAACTAGCTTCAGAACAAAATTCTATATAAAATCCTAGAGAATCCTACAACTATCTGGGTTAGGAGTAGGATTTTTTATGACTTTTAAGCCACCTCTTGAGAAATCAAGCGTTAAATAAGAACTTTTCTCTCTACAGAAATTTCCATTGAAAATGAAACCAAATAATCATCTAACAATACAGAGCTCAAACTTTCGGGTTAGGTGCTATAATCAAGGCCTTTTAACTCCCACCTAATATTCAAATTCCTACATCAAAGTTTGGCTATCTGCCAACAAAATATTGCTTAAATTACATAGAAAAGGAAATCCAGAAAAAAACTCTCAGAAGTCAGACCAAAGCAACTTTCCGAATTTCACAAAGTAAAAATTTCACAACATTACAGCGCCCCGATGCTTAAAAAGTTGAAACACCTAACACAGAAAAAAGTTTCAAATTCAGTACAACAATTCTGCAAAATCCAAACCCCATATAACAAAATTCCAAAGAAGAATCATATTTCAAAAGTATTGAACACTAAACAATCCCATCACCACTACCCCACACAAAATTCAACCAAAATAAAAACAAAATAAACATACCCAGATACTAACAACCAAAATTAAGAAGCAATTGGAGCAATAACTAACCAGGCCATTAGCCAAAACAACAGGGTCAGCCATAATCTCTCCAGAAATAGGACACCTGAACACTTCAGGAACATCCAAGCAATCAACACTTAAAGAATGAGATTTCTTCAAGTTAAACTCTTTCAAACAAGACAAGACTCTCAAAGCCTCATCAGTTACATGCATGCCATAATCATCTTCATCAAGAATGGTCTTCACAAGTCTCTGTAACTCCTTTTTCAACTCAAAAACCGTATTCCTACTATGATCAGTCTCTTGAGCTTCTGGGTTGGCCATAAAAGACCAATCTTGAAAGTGAAACTGATAAAAAAGATTGAAACTTTGAACCACGAATAAACCAAGAAAAGTAATTTCACAACTGGGTTGGTAACTCATAACAAGTTACCCATAGAATTTTCTTCTTCAGTTGAGAAGAAGAAATTGGGTTTAGCTTACACTAGTTATTTATACACTCCATTATTTTCTTATGTGAACTCTCTTGGCTGTTTGCTGACGCTGTCCTTTTATGAAAGGGGTGCTGGGTGATGATAATATCACTGATTGAGGTTGTTGGTTTGGTCACAGTGAAATTTGATTAATTATTGAGTGGGGTACGCGGTGTTTGTCTTCTGTATTTTTAAGACAAAGGTTTTGGTGACCAATTAGATATCGCCACGCAAGTAAACTGGAAATAGAAAGGACTTAAAAAATGGTACCTAACATGATTTTCCTTTCTTAATTTTATGGTAATTTTATTAGTGGATTTTATTTTAATTGAAGTGAATAGTTGATTAAAGTAAATTTTATATAGTTATTGATCCATGACATTATTGAAATAACGTTGAATCACGTTAATATTAACTGATACAATTATATGATACGGAGTGTTAATATCACATAAATTATAAAATGTGATTTTTATTATGGGTTTATTTTATTTATTTTTGTGAGATTGTTAGATATTGTACCTTAATATTTGTTGAAACGGAAACCAAACACATCATAAATAAAGTATAAAATAAAAGACTAAATACAATCATATACCCTAGTTTATTCCCTTTTCAAGGAACTATGTTCAGTATTCAAATAAAGTGATTTTATTGAGTATCAAAACACTGTAGAATACAAAGATAAACAGTACCGATAGCTTACTCTTTTTCCTCTATTTTTGTTTTTTACACGTAGGTTTTTTACTATTTAAATACATAATAGAAAACCTAACCCCATTTAAGCTTACCCAAATCTAACCTAACCTAAATCTAAATATTAATAAACTAATTCTAAACCTAATTAGACATTGTGACCCCCGGATGAGTCATCGTAGGCCGGCAATCCGTTAAGGCTAAAAGAAGTATATACTATAACTAACAAATATCATAAAGTTTTTGACACTTTTATAAATTTTTTTTTTAATAATTTTATGATTTTTTAAATTAACTTATTAATAATTTTAGGAGATATATAATTTTTTTTTAAAATAGTGGCATATTTCATATTTAAATATTTATAAAATGGATTTGTTATTTGTTTATTTTACTTTGAAAAACTATTTTCCAAACGTTGTTAAGATGGAAAATATGGATATAGATTTTGGATATGATATGATTTATAAATAATTTAATTTTCTAAGAAAATAACCTTATAAGTTATAACACACTTGTACAATCTTTGATTGTAAGATTGTGTAAATTATTTTATCTTGAAAATGGGTTTGATATTTTTATAAATTATGTAATATCCAAAAAACATTAAAAAATAAATAACTTAGTTTCAATCAATGTAATGATGAAGCTAACAGAAAAGTGTTAGGGTGATTGAGATGTTAATCTACCTTGATTTTAAAAGAGAAGAAGGTTCATGTATTTAGACATTTTTTAAGTTAATTAGGATTACTATCTAATTAATAAAAATTAAAGAGTGATAATTAATGGCACTTACCCTAATGGAGTGACTTTTAAAATCACATATTTTCTAAATTTATTTAAGATTAAGTAATAAATTAATAATGGGATTAGTATTTTGAGTCGGCACTTGGCACCAATTGCAATCAAATCTCAATTTCTAAGGCTTTTCATTAACCTATCAACAATTCAAGAGTACAATTTTTTTTTTTTTTTAAATGAAAATATTGTTTCAAATGTTATTTTGAGTAGTATTTTTTTTTATGAGTTTATTTCATTTTCTCCTATGAGATTGTTTAGTATTAATTCATCTATTTTGTTCGAAAAGTATTAAAAATATCCCTAGCACGATTTTTGGGTTTTTTTAAATAATTATTTAAGGGTTTTTTTTATATTTTTTTATTATAAGATGTTTTTAATATTTTCTAAAAGAAGTGGATAAGTTTAATACTAACGGATCTTATATGGAAAAATAAAATAAACCAATATTTTTTTTTTTGACACTATTGGGTAAGTGTTTTAAGTTTTCCTTCAAAAACAAACAAACAATCATATGTTACTATGGCAATATTGTATTCTTCAAAACAAAAACAAAAAACATTTTTAATGCCTCAGTTGATTTGATGGTAAAGGGCAAAAGAGTAATTGTATTATGTTAAAAAGTATAACATCAATGACCTGTCCTCTTCTCTAACTAGTCTTTTACTCAAAACACATTACTAATTTTACATGTGAAATTTAGAAACTCTTTCTGGATTCATCTTTACCAAACCAATAAAAACATAGCCACCAAAACACCTTTCAATATCAACTTTCCAGCTCCCTCATACAAAGAACATTCCATTGAGACCCTTCCTGTTTGGGGCAGAGATTGATTTTCATCTTCCTAATCCTCNTTTATATCTATATTCATAAGCTAAATCACTAAAAGCAAATAAGAATTCCTATCAGTTTTTTCTCCTTGTTTTCCAACTAACGCCTGAGCACAAAGTCCTCTGTCTGAATGAAAATTAAAATGGTTGAGTCCTACTCATTTCAAACCTCATTTAGTTTTAGAGTTTAGCATCTAGTCCACATAATAGGAATTAAGGATTTTAAGCATACATATCATAAACAAAAGTAATGACAGTAATGATTATGTAAAAAGATGATGCGAATGCAAGAAATGCAAAAGTTGCCTATATAAAGTTTAATCTCCCGGTAATCTTGTTATGATCATGTAATTCATGATTATGATGAAATGCAGATGATAAGAGTTACAGGAAAGTGCTATTTTTCTGTCCAACATGAAAAAGAGGAATAGACACCCCCCAAAAAAAGAAAGAAAGAACTACCCAGATAATAAGAAGCTGAGAAACAAACAATATAACATAATCAAGGATACATAGGAGGATACAGGTGCAGAAAAAAGTGCTGAAGCCTGCTGCAAATTTGTGGGAATAAACCACGTCACAAACAAAGTCCCACACTTATTTCAGTAACTCTTTAATTTAACCATATTTAATATATATACAAGTATAACTTGAATGACTTACCCCCATAATTGAAATAGAGCAGGTTTATCATATTAAGAAGGATAGTGCCCTTTTCCCTATCAGCTGCTCGTNAGGTGGTAAACTTTTCATGAGATATGGCTTGAGGTCACAAAATTTTCCAATTCCCACAGCATGGGAAACCATCATGAAGTTTAAATCTCTCTTGTGTTCATTACCACCAGCTAAAATGTTTTTATATCTATATTCATAAGCTAAATCACTAAAAGCAAATAAGAATTCCTATTAGTTTTTTCTCCTTGTTTTCCAACTAACGCCTGAGCACAAAGTCCTCTGTCTGAATGAAAATTAAAATAGTCGAGTCCTACTCATTTCAAACCTCATTTAGTTTTAGAGTTTAGCATCTAGTCCACATAATAGGAATTAAGGATTTTAAGCATACATATCATAAACAAAAGTAATGATAGTAATGATTATGTAAAATGATGATGCAAATGCAAGAAATGCAAAAGTTGCCTATATAAAGTTTAATCTCCTGGTAATCTTGTTATGATCATGTAATTCATGATTATGATGAAATGCAGATGATAAGAGTTACAGGAAAGTGCTATTTTTCTGTCCAACATGAAAAAGAGGAATAGACACCCCCCAAAAAAAGAAAGAAAGAACTACCCAGATAATAAGAAGCTGAGAAACAAACAATATAACATAATCAAGGATACATAGGAGGATACAGGTGCAGAAAAAAGTGCTGAAGCCTGCTGCAAATTTGTGGGAATAAACCACGTCACAAACAAAGTCCCACACTTATTTCAGTAACTCTTTAATTTAACCATATTTAATATATATACACGTATAACTTGAATGACTTACCCCCATAATTGAAATAGAGCAGGTTTATCATATTAAGAAGGATAGTGCCCTTTTCCCTATCAGCTGCTAGTGCATAAATGGAATTATTCTGGTTTGACATGGTTAGTGCCATTGAAGACATCGTTTTTGTTGACATCAGAAGATTCTGAAGGATCATATCTATCTCCAAATGCATTTTGTACCACAGATTCTGCATTATCATGGACTTGTATTTTTCTTTGATGAGAACTTGATGAATGAGACGATCTGTAATCATGATAACTGGACCTGCTAGAAGATGTTCTAATCTCATGATGCTTGGTTCTAGTCAACTCCACATCTTCTCGCTCTCTTCTATGATTGCTCTCTTGTGACCAGTCATCACTTCTGCGCTTTTTCATGCTTCTAGAATAATAATCTTCACCATGCTTTTCACGGTTTGTGTGAAGGTCTCGTTTAAATAGCTCATGATCTCTAGGCAACACATCCTCAAATGCGGTAGATTTGCTATCACGGTCATAATTAGATTGTTTCCGGAAATATTTTGGGCTACCTCTTGTTGCTTCAACTGAATCACTATAACCTTTTCTACGTACATCAACATAGGCGGTAAGATCATCTTCTCGCACTCTTCGATTATTATTCCTCTCATATGACAGGTCATCAATTTTGTGCCTTTCCATGCTTCTAGAATGATCCTCTGCACCATAGTTTTCATGGTGTCCATGACGGCCTCGTCTTGATAGCTCCTGATCCCTAGTCAAAGCATCCTCAAATGTTGTAGATTTGATATCACGATCATAGTGAGACTGTTTCCTGTAATAGTTTGGGCTACCTCTGTTTGCTTCAAATAAATTGCTATTGTTTTTCCCAAAATTCATATTAAGATCCTGTGCAGGGGGTCTTGATGAAGACATACCTCCCTCTTCATCTCCCTTCACAAAACAACCAATTCCTCCTGCTTGCTTGATTTCATCCATGTATTCCTCAATTATATCCCTCATAACCTGCGAAACAATATGCACAAATGGATTAAGGAAACTATCATTAAAATTTAAATTTCAAATCCACACAATGTAACAAAAAAGGACATTCTTTTTATAGGAGAAAACAATAAGACATTAGAAACAAGAATATTATGAATTTTTTTTAATAAGAATACGCGAATATTTAATTAGAAATAATGATTCATTTAGCTTTCTCTTAGCAAAACTATCAACCATATACTGAAGAAATAAATCAGCTGTCACGTTTCCTGAAGAGCCTAAATCTTTTAATAAGAATACACGAATAATATGCATCATGCATAATCTTTCTCATCCGCATGACTAAACTTCTAAACTAAAAAAATATACATATCAAGTAATCTCACAAAAAATATGTGCAATTAAATCAATGTTGAATAAAACCAGGTAAGGGGAAAAAAGAAAGGCCTATAACTGGCAAGCTTGCTCAGATTCAAATACATGTTGGAGAAGAAATGAATTTTTATAATACAATGTTAAGATGGTTGAGCATAACTTTTACAATATACTAGGATATGCTACCTCAAGCACATGTAATTAGTAAAGAATGATAGCAATGCTTGCTCATACTGTCATACATAGCCAAAGCCTTATAAAAAATGTTTAACATTTTTTCGATTGAAAAATTAAAGTTTAATCCATTTGAGAAAATGAAGTACCTCCATCACAAAGTTAAACACACGCATTTGACAACCTAGGATGTAAAACATTAAATAACAGAAAATGTAATCGTGAGAAAGAATTTAAAATTTCAAAACCAGATTCTTACCTCTAAAGTTGTTCGTTTCAACTTCTTCCCACGATATGACATTCTTCGGCGTTTGTAATCCCTTTCTTCAGCCAATAATTCCTCTTTTGTCTTATTCTTACTTGAATCCTTATTTAAACAAACAAAGATTTAGGAATAACAGTTTGTTAAAACCACATTTCCTTTAAAAAAGATAAGTGTCAAGGGAAAGGATACCGGATAACATAATAGTAATCAGCTGTTACGTTTCCTGAAGAGCCTAATTTCAGGTTGTTAAAAGAATTTACTAAACAGTTCACAGTGATGAGCTAAATGTGATCACCCACCACAATAAACTGATGTCATGCAAGAGGTTGTTACCAGAATTCTAATATAGTTGCCAACAGTGATGACATAAATGCACACAAAAGAAAACTGATTCCTACTCTCATTCAAGATGTGCATAACGTTAATGTTTATTGATTGAGAAAGTTCAGGCATATCCTAAATCTAGAAATAGGTTAACATGGTCATCCTGAGAAAAAAGCCCCACACAGGGGAAATACAAATTTAGTGCACCTGCTTTGACATTATATATGTATGATGAAACAGTATGACCAAATAAATTTTCAATTACCTTAATTGTACTTAGGTCAAGAGCCAGGTATCCTAACTATCTGCATGACTAACGACATCATCTAATGATAACAACTAGTATCCAGTTTCCTTAACCATGTTTTAAACTGTAGAATAAAACATATGCAACTCATAATACATTAAATACATAAGAAAGCTAAATACCTGGTTAGATGACGGTTTCTTAGGAAGTCCATCATGCTCAATTAAAGGTCTATAATAAGGACGTTTTTTCCTCTCCTCATCAGCTCTATTAGTCACATAAGCATGCTCAGCCATTCTACAGATAAAGGAAAACTTTATCAGCATCAAATACTTAGATTCCAGATACACATACTTCAGATGATGATACTGTCACAACGAATTAAAAACAATACAGAGAAGAAGTGGATGTCAATGGAGCAGGAATAAAATAAGTAGGACAGTTGAATCACAATAATACCACGGAACAATAAAAATTCATGAAGGCATAAATGAGAAATAAGATAGACAACTATTTATACCTTTGCAACAGCATGACAATTTGAAATACATTCAGTAAGCTGTTCAATTTTTGTAAACTTAAAATAATGAAACATACCAGACCAAAAAGGAACCACAAGCAAGAACGTGCCGAAAATAATAATAAAAAGGAAGGAGAGGAAAAGAAAAAAATGATAACAGTAACAAACCGCTGATAACTTGTAAGTGGTTGAGAACTCCTTAATCCCCTAATCTTTTCTTCAAGCAATGATCGCTCATGCAGTGCTGCAACAGCTGCTGCAACTTGGGACACAAATATCACCTTACTGTTGACAGATTCAGGAACCATTTCGCTTGCTTCACTCTCTGAAACCTTTTCAAGGGGCTTTTCAACTTTGACATCCGTAATCTCACTATGGATAGCATGTGAACTCTGATCTCCTTCTTTTAAATCAGAAGACACAACCAAATTTTGCTCTAATGGAAACAACAACAACCGTGATACACTTTCTAATAGGCATTGCTTAAAAATATTAATAGCGTATAATTTTGCATTCGGTTGCCCATATAAAACAGAAAGCTGAGAAGCTAACCACGTCAAAGCTTGAGACAAAACAGGACAATTAAAACTCATACTCTTCAAATTCCCATCGAATTCTTGGCCCTTCAACAATTCCACAATGCCTGAAGCTTCCTTGATAACAGCTTTCAAACACAACCCAACAAGTACAAATATATGGTCCCTCAAATAAACATCAATGACAATACCATATGGTGGCGAATTTACAATTACCCATTTGCTCAAATCACTCTCTTTCACCCTTTTTAACCCCAAAATTGCACAAACAACATTAAAAGAGTACATATTTAAATACTCATAATCACTCCAACCCTCAATTTCTCTCCTAATAAACCACAAATCAGAACCTAAAATCCTAAACCCCACTTCATCAAAACCTTCAATCTTCTTCTTAACTTCTTTATCAGTATAACAAACAACATTAGCACATTCTATAGATAAAAAACCAGGTAAAGTAAAAGTCTTCTTACTATTACTAGAAACAATATCTGATAAACAAACAGGACCTGGGCAATCTTTATAAAAGAAAGAAGTAAACCCAGAGTTAGCAATGTAATCATCCAAAGAAAAGCAGAGCTCCTGGTTTAACTCTTGAATGATGAAATGAGAGTTTTGGTCGTGTAACGTTGAAGTAGAATGGAGAGTATTTTCGTAATTCGGAGAGCCAATTGGGAGAGGAGATGGGCAGTGGAGAGTGTGGCGAAAGAGGGACTCAGGAGGCATGAGATGGTGGGGGTTGTACGGGCAGGGGAGAAAGTGCTCATTTTGTGACTTTGGAGGGGGAAAATTGGAATTTTGAAGGGCTTGGTGAGAGAGAGAGATGAGGGTTTTGAGAGAGGAGAGCGTTGTTGAGAGATCAGATGGGTTTGAAATTGGGGTTAACTGACGGTAGAGGTTAGGGTTTAAAGGAGGTGTTGAAGAAGGGTTCATGAGTTTTCAGTGTTTCAGGCACTAAAGTGACAGTAGCTCCGTCTCTTTTGTTAAAAGGTAGAATTGTAAGAGAAGACAAAGAAAGTCGTTTCGTTTTTATATGATAGGCCGAATAACATAGTAACCCCCAATTCGTCATGACATTCAATATACCCCTCATTTTCGGAAAGATTCAACGTCACCCCATTTTCAAACTTGTTAGTTGATAATTGATATCAAACTTTGCTAAAATAAGGTCAAGGAGGAAATGGGAAATATTTCTCTGAATTAAAGTACCCCACAAGCCACAAGAATTTATAAATAGTCAACTACACACTTAACTTCTGATGCAAGAAAAAAACAGTACCGCACCACCATCTTGCGGTGGTTCCGTGAAGGTAAGGTGTTGCCCGAGATTGTGCATTGGGAAGAAACCCTAAAACTCCACTTCCAATCAATTCATTAGCGGCTGCCGAAATTATCCAAGCCCCACCCCAAATCTAAAGCCTCAAGCTATTGTCTCTCACCAAGAACGACCAAAAAAAAAAAAAAAAAAAATAATAATAATAAAATAAAAAATACCATGATCAATTCAAATTCCAAAACAAAAAACTAATCCACATACCTTATATCCTAAACAGAAACTCATCTTTTCCGTATTCAAATCCATCCAACATAATGCATTTCTGGCTTTATTGTTGAAAACATCTGGTGCGTGGGGCGGACAGGGGTGATTGGAGTGGGGTTCGAAAGGAGGCAATTGGGAAGGAGAAGTGCACAGTGGGTGGCGGCTGGTGAGCTCGGTCGCGAGGACTGCGGGGAGCGTGGTTGCATACTTCTGGTGATGTGGTGTTGGGTTCTATTAAACCTAGTTAGTAAATTTGCGAATTATACGCCCAGCCGTATAATTCGTGTATTATTCACGAACTGCCATATTTTATTAGCCTAGCCGTATTATTCGCGAATTATATGCCTCAGTCGTATTATTCTTGTATTTTTCCCGTATCTAAATTTTTGTCGAATTTTTACAAACGTATTTTTTACTATTTACCGTATCATACCCGTAAAATTCCCGTATCCTTTTTTTGTTGTACCCGTATATTTGAAATGCTATATAGATTTTAACCAAATGGCCCATGAAAAGTACTAAAACTAGGATTGATATTACCGTATTTTTCAAAACGTATTATTGACAATGTGCTGTATTAAACCCATATATATCCGTACCGTATTTTTTCCATATCCGAATTTTATGACCGAATTTTTACAAACATATTTTTCACTATTTACTGTATCATATCCATAAAATTCCCGTACCCTTTTTGTAACGCCTCACTTGAGGTATGTAGCTAAGTTATGATGTATTGCTTGAATGTTTATTGTTTTGCTTTTATTTGGGTTGATATATTGTTAATATTGGTTGGTTGGCCCTTAGTTGAATTTTTGTTAAAGTTATTTTGAGAAAAATAGAAAGAAAATCCCTTAAATTTTCATTAGGGGTAAAATGGTTTTTTCACTCAAAATTAGTTGAAATTGTGGGGAGTGGAAAGAGATAGAATTTCATGGAGAATGTAATAAAAATGAGGGCATTATTGTAATTGACTAAGGGACATAGATGGAATTTTTAAGAAAGAGCAAGGGCAAAATGGGAAGACATGTGTTAATTGTGAGTTAATAAGGGTTTGGGTCTAGAAAACCCTTCATTCTTCTTCTCCACCGCCAACTTCTTCTCACCACTTCCTCTCAACTCTTTTTTTCAATATTTCAAGATATTTCAAGAATTTTAGAGAGCTTTTTGAGTAGTTTGGGATAGAAACTTAATCTAAAGCACCCTTAAGGTAAGGATTTTTGCTTTAGATGTGAAGTTTTGCTTATATATATATATATATTGAAGTCTTAGGGTTTTATTGTTTAAAGGTGTAGAGAAGAGACAAGCTATCAAAGGAAAGAAAAAGTGTTAGTGAAATCTCTCCATTACAAGGTAAGTAAATCCAACCAAGTTGAGTTTTGAATAAGCTTTTGAGTAGAGATTTAGAGATTGAGTAGAGATGTATGCATGTATAAATATGTATTATGCTTGTTGAGGAATTGAGTTGAGATGAGCAGCTAATTGGTGGTTGTTGGATGCACTTCATGTATGAGAAGTGTTTTAATGTGTATTGAGAAATGGAAATTGAGATGAAGTTTGAGAGATGTTGTGTAAACCTATTTGGAAGTGCTTTTCTTGACAGGGATTATGATTATATGAGGGAGTTTTCTCCCATTTTGGATGGCTAGAGAATGAAGTAGAGTAGTAATTATAGTAGAGTGTTTCTATGCACATGAGTTGCTTGATAAAATGCCTAAGTGAAAACATGTTACTAATCTGCCCTATCACAACCATGACTTTCTGTGTGATTTTTGGGCATCTTACAAAATGAACTAGGTTTAGACCAAAACATAAAAGTTATAGCCCTGTCTCTAAGCTTTAAAACTAGATAAAAATCGTAGTAATCCGATGTGTATAACTCAAGTTATGCCTTCTTGAGTGTGACCTGCGCAGAATGACTATCTTTGATGCAACATTGCATTTGTGCTTTTCATGAATGCATTAATGAGCATGAATCATCCATATGCATTAATTATGCATGAGAGAAAGAGTACAGAACTTTGAGTGTGAGCTTTATTAAGAGAAAAGAGAGAAAAAGAGAATAGAGTAGGTTGTGCGATGGGGAACCCGTGAGTAATGGGTAGAGTATTCCCGCATGTACGCCGCATTGAGAGAGCGGCATGAGTATGAGAGAGAGAAGTGGTGTAGCCCGTGAGAGTGCATGCGGATGAGGGCTATACCTGAGAGTACCCGAGAGAGAGTTTATACGCTCACATGGCCAAGGGTTTCGAATCCATGCATAACCGAGTCCGATCGAATAGAATGAGTAGAAGTCACGGAGAGTGGGAGCGAGTCCCGGCCGTGCCTCCGGTAAGATGAGGCAGTGACTTACAAAAGAGAGTTAGTAAAAAGAGTTAAGAGAAAGAGGAAATAGAGAGAAGTATAAAAGAGAGAGTAAATGAGAATTGTAAGGAAAGAATTAGAGAGAGAGTTACGGGGATAGATGAGTAGAGGATTTACTTACTGAGCATTAGTTGTGCTCACCTCGTTGTTTCCTATGTTTTTGCAGGATCTAGGTGAGGATACAGTCGGATGGGCGTTGGCAAGCGAAGGAAAATGGCTATATTGTCTACCTTTTTTTGATGCTTTTGTACATGATACAATTTTTTGTATAAAGAATGTATATGTTTAATAAAAGAAAAATTTGGGCTCAAATTTTTATGTTATCTTACATGTATTTTTACTATGTATATTTTAAACGAATATGAGTAGAATGGAGTTGTTACACTTTTTTTGCCGTACCCGTATTTACTAACTAGGGTTCTATATTCAAGAACAAATTAGGGACAAAATAGTCTTTTACACTAATTTAGTAACTACTGTTAACTCCAGGTTAAATGGTGCCATTGTAGGAGGTGTTTAAATATTTTCTGAAATTTGTGGGGGCAATTACATACGATAGTTTGGGGTGGTTAATGATTTTTTTTCCCTTTAAGAAGCATGCTGATGACTGCTAACTTTTGAATAATCTGAATCCTAATTAGAATAGAGGAGGTTGATATAGATTCTAAATTAAAAACAATAAACAAATTCATCTTTTAAGCTAAAAGAAACTGTAATTAAAAAAAAAACAAAAATATTATGACTATTTTAACGACTATTAGACTCCTCTGAAGGATCAATAAATCAGAAAGACTTCTTAATTACTTAATTTATGTACTGGGTCTACATGCAGTGATTTTCAACTTTCATAAAGAGAATAAACAAAAATAAATAAATAAATTCTTTGCAGTTGTAAACGTTAAATTTGTGATATGCATCAGGCCACAATGTTTCAATTCATCCTATTATATTACTTAGTAGAATTCCACATCAAGAACAACAGTGCACAATTATTCAACCAATTGAGAGCAAACAACATATTCCCACCTGAGGTTTGGCGAAATCCTCGTTGGTACCCCTGGTTGCATTTGTTTCAGATTACCACTCTTAAAGTAACACAAGTGATTTTTAGGTTGCAGAGGGTGCTATTACTATAATACCCTTGACAAATAAATTAACAAATTACTTTTTAACCAGCTTACTTTAAAATTTATTTCAATAACACTTTCGGTGATTACGCACCCTCTCAATTTTTTATCGATCTCAGTTGTTTCCGACGGGGTTGAACCCCCTTGTCACCTCCATCATCTTCTCCATAGTCTATACTCCAAACCCCCCCTATTTCTACCATTTGTAGTTTGACTAGTTGTTGGAGTGTAGCTAACCTTAAAAATTCCTTCTTCAATCTTTTCTTTGATAAAATGTTGATCTATCTCCACATGCTTAGTTCAATCATGATGAACCAGATTCTTGGCTATATTATGGTAGCTTGATTGTCACAATATAATTCCATAGGATGCTCCAAGGGAACCTTTAATTCTGATAATAATCTTTGTAACCAAATTCCTTCACAAATTGCTTGTGCCATGACTCGAAATTTTGCTTCTGCACTACTACGGGCTACAACAAATTGTTTCTTGCTTCTCCAAGTCACCAAGTTTCCCCACACATACAACAAATTGCTTCTTGCTTCTCCAAGTCACCAAGTTTCCCCACACATAGGAACAATATCTTGATGTTGATTTGCAATCTATCACTAAACCTGTCCAGTCTACATCTGAAAATATCTCAATATTCCTCTTGATCATTCTTTGGAAGAAAAGACCCTTACCAAGTGTTATTT